ATGTGAAATCCCTTGTAAAATTCCAAGTGGATTCCCATGTAGGGATATTCAATAAGGCGGATAATGTTTTTCACATGGGATTTGGTTTAGGATTTGACATGGGAAAATAATTATAAATAAATGATACTGTTCTTCACTTGGGGATTGACTTGGGAAAATAATTATAAATAAATGATACTGTTTTTCACATGGGATTCGGTTTAGGATTTGACTGGGAAAAACATGTGGGATTTGATATGGTTTTATGCATAGATGAACTGTTCAAATTCCCCATGTCTATTCCTAACTAAAATCCTGTCTCAATTTCCCATATGGTTTGACATGGGAAACCACATGGTAAACCACGTGGTTTCCTTCATGGAAGTAGGGTTTTACATGGTTTTTGACATAGGATCCCATGTGGTTTCCCATGTGGTTTCCCATATGGGGATTTTCAATAGGGGAGTTAGGAGCAGTTAGGAGTACTCGCATTTGCCTGGACATTCGGCTAGGGGAGATGAAAACTGCAGAAAACCTACACTTGAGTACAACCGGTTTATTGACGTCGAGTCATGAATGTACATTTGGATAGCCATCACAAATGCAGAAACATAGCCACGGCGTCAAACCTTCCGTTTGATATATATATCTCGATCAGCAAAAAACATACTGCACCGTACTGACGAAGAAAATCACTATATGGGTGCTTCTCTCAAAATACTCCTTTTTGTAAGTTACAAACAAAAAAGAAAAAAAATTATTTGGTGGATTAATGCAGTCAATTATATTGAGTTTTAAAAGATCTACCACCTTTATAGCATGATCATGCTGACTTTTAGCTTTTAAAGTGTATATTATTTTAAATTAAAATTCACAAAAAATGAAGAGGTTAAAATTTGGCGCCGGTGTTTCATTTACAAAGTTAACCTTTTTGAAAGTGATAAAAATAAGAAAAAATAGGATATTTTAAATATTTTAATTTTATTAATTTTAATTAATTAATTTTATTAATTAAATTAAATTGTTGTTATAAAACATCTCTTGTAATTGTTAAAAACTATTTTTCATACATTTTAGGTTGATTTTTCACTGATACCCAGTAAACGAAAACTAATTGAAATGAATTAAAAAGAATTCACAAAGAGCTTTCGTGAATCCCGCTTTGTAACAAATACGAATTCGAGCCATGATGCAATTTTCCTGAATTCGTGAAACTGTATTGAACTTCCGAACCTTCTATCCGTACCAATTCACTGGACAAGTTTTGAGCCTTTAATTGTTTTTCAATTCGTTAGCACGAATTCAATGCATTCCTTGGTCATTTCTTTCGAATGCGAATTCGTTTGGACAAATTGGTACATATTGAATTAAATTCAATTGAATATACAAAGAGCTTGAGTGAATCCCGCTTTGTGACAAATACGAATTGGAGCCTACCAAAAATGTTAATTCGTTTCAATTCATTTGAATTAGTTTTTTTTTACTGGGTAGTTTTTAAACAATCGACAATCAATATCAATTCTTAATTTTTATTCAGAAAAGAGTGAGGGGAATGACGATTTCAACATTTTTTAATTTTATTTAATTGGCAAATAATTTTCCTCCAGCTTAGAATGCCCTATCATGTTGATACAGGATAACTTTATGTGAAAAAAAATTGCAGTCAATTTATATCTACTAATATTGTTTTCATTATGAGTGAAAGGAATGACGCTTTAGGTTGTGAATCTCTGCTAATTTTTTTTTTTTTTTTTTGCTAATTTTTTTAACACAAACTAATGACATTTTTCAAAAAGTAACTTAATAAATTAATATTAGAGATGTTAATTGAAATACCCAGTAAAAAAAACTAATTCAAACGGATTGAAATGAATTAAGATTTTTGGTAGGAAGCGGGATTCATTCAAGCTCTTTGTATATTCGATTGAATTCGATTGAATTTGCCTGAAGTTGTGCAAACGACAAAATTCGCATTCGTAAGAAATGACCAAGGCATGCATTGAATTCGTGCTGACAAATTAAAAAAAATTAAAGGCCCCAAAACTTGTCCATTGAATTAGTATGAATAGAAGGTTTGGAAGTTCAATACGCAGTTTGACGAATTCAGGAAAATTGCAACATAGCTCCAATTCAGGGACCATCCATAAACCACGTAGCCTGCTTTGGGGGGAGGGGGTTCGGTAATGTGCTACGTTAGACCACATGGAGGGAGGGAGGGTTTTGAGTCTGAGCAACGTAGCTTTGTATTTTTATTTGACATACATTTTTTTGAAATTACGCGGGCAGCTCGAAAGTCAATTCGAGAGATATATGTGGACGTCCACATGAAAAGGGCCCATTTTGGCACTATTGCACGGAAAAAATTCCGGGACATTAGAAGCGCCGAGGACAGTGTCAACAGCAGTACATTTCATTTTGCACGTCTGAGGTGCCATTTCGAGATATCAGACGTACATAATGCACGTCAGATACGCTAAACTTATTTTAGTGAATATGGTGAATTCTTCACCGGTCATAAATTCGGATTGTTGCGGACTAATTACACAGGTTTACAAATTAAAAACTTCTTTTTGCCAATCGAACAAAACAATTTTTTTTCGAATAGTAGGTGTTTTTTGAGTAAGAAAATCATAGTTTTAATTTTTTTCCCTCATGCAGTTTTTCTGTAGCTTCAAATTTTGCATTTTCGAGGTGCGACGCCACTTAAACTTACCTGTAGGAAAATTAGTTTGTCAAAATATAATAAATGAGGTATCATTGGAAAGGTTATTAAATTACCTTTCGATCCATAGGTCACAGAATAAAATTCAACAAAAATTGAGAGAGTTACAGTCGATTAAAGATGAAATTTCATGACAATTTTGATGATTTTTAGACATTTGAGTAACTTCTACTATTTTTTTCTACATCAAACAGGAAAGAATGTTTAGGTTTTAATTTTTTTATTGATAGACTATATCATTACACAAATTTTGAGCCCTTGTGGACCTCGATTGGATTAAAAATGACAATTCTACACTAAATTTAGTAAACGAAACTACATTCTTCATTTTTAGTATTCCTTAAACATTTGCAGCAAAAATTGAAGTAATAAAATTTAGTTAAGCTCTAAAGTTACTAAGATCACTTATAAAGGATTTCTGAAATCGTAGATTTCGAATCCAATGTTAGTTTTCTAAATTTCAAAATGGCGGATCCAATATGGCGGACAAGTTTTTAAAAATCGATTAAATTCGTCTTAAATTCGTTACTCGGGGGTTTTCGGGGTCGCTGATTACGAATCTGATGTCAGATTTCAAAAATTAAAAATGGCGGATCCAATAGGTGCGAATTCGATGGATTTTAAAAAACTCGTTCACCATTATGAATCCATCCTTTTCAATTTTCGAAATCCGACATCAGATTCGTAATCAGCGACCCCGAAAACCCCCGAGTAACGAATTTAAGACGAATTTAATCGATTTTTAAAAACTTGTCCGCCATATTGGATCCGCCATTTTGAAATTTAGAAAACTAACATTGGATTCGAAATCTACAATTTCAGAAATCCTTTATAAGTGATCTTAGTAACTTTAGAGCTTAACTAAATTTTATTACTTCAATTTTTGCTGCAAATGTTTAAGGAATACTAAAAATGAAGAATGTAGTTTCGTTCACTAAATTTAGTGTAGAATTGTCATTTTTAATCCAATCGAGGTCCACAAGGGCTCAAAATTTGTGTAATGATATAGTCTATCAATAAAAAAATTAAAACCTAAACATTCTTTCCTGTTTGATGTAGAAAAAAATAGTAGAAGTTACTCAAATGTCTAAAAATCATCAAAATTGTCATGAAATTTCATCTTTAATCGACTGTAACTCTCTCAATTTTTGTTGAATTTTATTCTGTGACCTATGGATCGAAAGGTAATTTAATAACCTTTCCAATGATACCTCATTTATTATATTTTGACAAGCTAATTTTCCTACAGGTAAGTTTAAGTGGCGTCGCACCTCGAAAATGCAAAATTTGAAGCTACAGAAAAACTGTACGAGGGAAAAAAATTAAAACTATGATTTTCTTACTCAAAAAACACCTACTATTCGAAAAAAAATTGTTTTGTTCGATTGACAATTTCACTGTAAACCAGTGTTACGGACTGAATATGTAGACATTTAGGATTACATCGGAGTGTTCTCGGATTCAGGGTTTCGTTCGGATTAATATCAGACTAACGCGGATCATTTTCGGATCTTTTTCGTACAATTTTCGGACTAATCCGTAATATTCTGTCCGTATTTAATCCGGAATTAGTCCGAAATTTTTAACAGGGAACCGCACTCAAATGTGCTTAACCTCCGTGATCGCAAGCCACGGGATTCCGCCAACCGAGCTAAAACCGTCAGTTAAAATTATATTAAGTATTAAAATTTAAAGAATTTAAATATTAATGAAAAATTAATAATAATATTATTCAGGTTTTAAAAAAATGTCATTTTTAATTTTTTCCAATTACACATTGCAATTACAGAAATTTAAAAATTTAACAAGAAAAAATACAATATTTAAAAATAAGTAACTAATTAACATAAAATTCTATTTTTAATTAAAAGTTTTAAAACAAGTACAATAGCGTGAATGAAAAAAAATTCTCTAACATAAATGCATTATTACAATGGCAGATAAAACATATTTTTATACTTTATCATTTAAACATTAAATGCACAGAAATAAATTATTTTAAAAATAATGCATTTCATTAAGTAACAATAATAATCTATAATAATTTAATAACTACAATTTTTCGAAAATTAAAAAAGGAGTATTATTTTTTAAAATGAATTTTAAATTCTACTGTTTCTATATTTCTTCGTTTTTTTTAATTGTAAAATTGTGTTGTCAGTTTGTTAAAAATGTATATAGTTCCTTAATAAATCGTTCTACAGTCAAATTTGTTGTTTTAAAAACAAATGCACTGACAATTAACAATTTTAAAAAATAAAAAAATATCACATGCATTACTCTTTTCTTAATTTTTAAATTTATGAATACAGGAAAATTACAACGGCAATCACATGAATATATAATTATAATTAAAACTAATGTAAAATTTTCATAAATTTAAAAAGAAGAAAGCACTAATTTCCTAACAAACTGGTATAGAAAAAAAATAATTACCATATATTAAGCATTAATTCAATTAAAATCTAACTTTCCGCTTTTTTGATTTTTAAAAAATTTTCTAAATGCTATTGCGAATGGAAAACAATTCATTTCATCAATATTATCATTTTCGTCATATCTACATTATTTAAGTCAATTAATTTATAATATTTCTAATCTCGGGAAAAAAATTATATTTCCCGTTTCGTTTTCTCTTTCGCAAAAAAATCTATTTTTTACATGAGAAAATATTCCATATTATTTCACGGAAAAAAATGCTTATGAATTTATTTCAATAGAAATGAGATAAAATAGCGAATTCGTTAAAACAGTTTGTCATTTTCGTTCACGAGACCTTTCTTGATATTAAAAAATAATTTTTTTCGTGGAATTTGATGTCAGTTGGGGGTTTTTTTTCTTCTTCTTTTACTCTACAGTAACTGATTTTGCAAGATTCCTGGGACAATCAATATTACAGCCACGTAAAACTGCAATGTGAAATGATAAAAGTTGCATTGGAATTACAGTTAAAATTCCTTGGAGACAATCGACTGTTTTTGGTATTTCCAAAGTTCTATCAGCAAACGATTTTGTTTCCTCGTCACCTTCCTCGCAAATAATAATAGGTCTTCCTTCACGTGCCGTCACTTGTTGCAGGGCATTCATACATTTCTGAAAAGAAAACAAAAAAGATATTTAAATTTAATATCTATATATATATATATATATATATATATATATTATATATATATATATATATATTATATATATAATAATATATATATATATATATATATTTAATATTAATTTAATATATATTTTAATTTAATATATTAATAGATCACATTATTAATTGTTAACTTATGAAAACTTTTAGACATTAGAAATATATTGCAAAAGAAAACAAAAAGGAGAATAAAAAGTTTTTAATAGATCACACCATTAATTAATTAATTATTATTAATAATTTCCATTAAATGAGAACTTTTAGACATTGGACAAATATGGCAAGCAACTCACGACGTAAACTGGATCTCGCATAACAATCATAATTACTGGCATCGAATCATCGACAAGAGCTAATGGACCGTGTTTCAATTCTCCTGCCATAATGCCCTCGCTGTGCATGTACGTCAACTCTTTGACTTTCTAGAAAAAAAAAGAAAAGAAAAATGTTATTCGAGAAAAAATTAAAGTAAATTAAGAGTATTTTAAAACAAAAAAGAAAATTTACTAGAGCTCCCTCCATGCATGTGGCGAAATTATATCCCCGTCCCATAATCAAAAGAGATTTATGTTGGAAAAGTGATTTTGCGAGCTCCTTCACTTTATCATCTAATTTAAGAACCTCGCGGATCTGATTGTCCAAATTTTTCAGACCCTCGATAATCTAAAAATAAAAGAATTAACAAATATATCACAATTTTATAATTAAAAAAATATTGCAAATGATTCGAAAACAAAGAAATAGGACATAATTTTTTGACGAATGAAAAGAAGATGAAAAAAATATCACCTGTTCACGTCTTGCCCTCAAAGAAATTCGGTCTTCACTCATTACAAGGGCAAACATCACGAGTGAAATAAATTGAGAAGTGTAAGCTTTTGTACTCGCAACACCAATTTCCGGACCAGCGTTAATGTGAACACCACAATGTGATTCACGACAAATACTGCTGCCAACTGTGTTCGTTATTCCAACAATCAAAGCACCTCTCGCCTTACAATAACGAAGAGCCATTAATGTATCAGCAGTTTCACCTGAAGGGAATCGAAAATAATCTTTAATTCACGAACTTATTTAATTAAAATCAAAATTTTAAAATTAGTACCTAATTTTTATAAAAATTAAAATTCATTAAACATTTCATTAAAAATACTTTAACTAATTTAATTTAAACCATTCAAGAAAATAATAAAGAAGAATCGAATCCTTTTGTCAAACAAAAAATATTATCTTCTATCAGGGTTGCCACAAAAATTTAATTTTATTTTTCCCTGATTTCAAAACAGAATTCCGACTTTTTCCCTGACCCTAAAGAATATTATAATTCCATATTCAAAATTATTTTCAAGATTTCAATTCAATTATTTTCTAGAATTTTATTTTAACTAAACTTCTTCTCTAATTAAATTATTTTTAATAATTTTTGAGAAAGTTCCTTAAGAATTTAATTATTTATTTAAAGAAAAAGAAAGTTCAACTAAAAAATTTCTGAAATCCACTTTCAGGCAAATCAGTTTTATGATAGAGTAAATTTTTATGGCGTTTCGCTTAATGCGTTTGTTAGAGAACTACGCAAGCAGATTTTCAACAAAAATAATAACAATGCGGTCAACTAGTAACGTAAGATTTTCATTGTTCAGTACATTGTACGAAAGGGCAATATAAGCCCGTTTATATACTAAATAAATAAATAAATAAATAAATAAATATAATTTCATAAAATTTTAATAATTTAAAAATTTTTCAAAAAAATAACTTCATTAGAAGTTTTAATTAAAAGCTTTTAAAATTCAACTTTTGTAAAACTTCAATTTGACACTTTCTGAAGTTTAATGTATAATAATAATAATAATATTATTAATATTAATTTAACATTCTGAAATTCTTCAAAAATTGAAGTTGATATTTGAAAATAAAAACTTTTGTTATTTACATAATAATAATAAAAAATTAAATACTAAGTACATTTATCGAGTAACATTTGCTAGTTATTTAAATTATTTATAAAAATTGAAAACACAACTTTTATAAAATTCAGTTCCTTCCTCATGAGGAAGCTTTGCATTCGGACGGTTTTCCATTTTTCAAAAGAAGGTTATATATGAAATGACTAACTTGTTTTTTTTAATGTTTAAAAAAAAATTATTCGCAAAATAATTTACAAATAATAATTTTTCAATAGTTCTTCAAGAATTAAATTATGTAAAATAAATTCAATTTTAAATTTGTAAAGTTCAATTATTATTAGAAAGATAAAGAATTAAAATTTAAATTAAATATTTTTAATTAATTTAATTAAATCTTTTCAATATTCTTAAATGCTGCTGGACAACAAAAATTAGAATTTTCATATGAATTCTAGAAATTAAATATTTTTTCAATAGTTGGAAACGTGTGGCAATCCTGATTTATGAATATTAAAATAAATTAGTGCTAAAAATATTGCGCATTCAAAATATTAAAAAAAGAATTACCTGACTGTGAAATAAAGAAACACACATCATCGCGAAAAACGGGAGTATTTCTATCCAAAAAATCAGAAGCAAGTTCAACCATCACTGGCAATTCGGTTAATTCTTCCAAAAGTTGTCTCGTTGCAACTGCTGAATGGTAACTCGTACCACATCCAATCAGCATTAAGCGCCTGCATCTTTTTATTTCCGGTATATAGTCCTGAAAAAAACTCTACTTAATTCCTTTCTACCGAAAATGAATATTTTCCAACTCTATACAAAAAATTGCAATCATGATTTCTGAATATACGGAAAAATAGAAAAAAGTTGAAACAATGAGAAAAGACATAAAAACTATTTTTAATATAAAACAAGAAATTAAAAAAAAAGTTTCAAAATTGATAAATAGTAAATTTATTGCCAATCCTCTATATTATATTAAGTTAATGTACGACCGACCGACCGACTCACACCTCTTTCTATTCTGTCTAACTATCTTTGAAAATACTTCACTCACACATGTCCAAAAAACACCACGGTGCGCCTGAAATGGGTTTTTATAAAAAGTTCCTGCACTCGAAATTTTCTTGTCAATTTTAAATCTGTGAAGTTTAAAGAGTATTTTAATACCAAAAAGAAAATAATCGCTAGAGCCCTTTTTGAGAATATTAACTTTAAATATATTTTTTAATTTTATATTTTTAAATTGTTTAAAAAATCGACTTTGATTCCATAGAAACATATTGCTAAGGTCAGTCTGTAGAGAAAAAGTCTTGAAAGGTACCTAAGAGGCAAACGAATTATAGGTTAGGTTCGAGTTAGATTGATCTTGATGAAAAGTTTATTTTTAATTATTTGAATTTGAAACAAATTTTCATTTAATATTTTTTATTTAATAAAGATTTAAAGATCAATAATTATTAATTAATAATTGATTTTCTATCCGTATTTTTACTCAAAAAATTGGAAAACATAACCTCAAATTTTTTGCTTCAGGTACCTTTCTTCGGAGCGTGACATACATATGTTAAAAATACATATCACAAATTTTGACAAAAACTTCTTTGACCTTATCAAGTTACCTACTAACCAATTTTCGGCATCTTAAAATTACTTGAAAGACCGTAAGAACACAAAATTAATTAATCAAAAACTAACATGAAATTTCCAAGACTTTTTCTCTACAGACTGACCTTAGCAATATGTATAAAAACACTGTTTCTATGGAATCAAAGTCGAGTTTCTAAACAATTTAAAAATATAAAATTAAAAAATATATTTAAAGTTAATTTTCTCAAAAAGGGCTCCAGCGATTATTTTCTTTTTGGTCTTAAAATACTCTTTAAACTTCACAGATTCAAAATTGACAAGAAAATTTCGAGTGCAGGAACATTTTATAAAAACCCGTTTCAGGCGCACCGTGACACATACCCATGAATGTTACACATATACACAAAACACATACATGTCATGTCACGCATGCGCAGTAGTATTCCATGAATGTCACGCATGCGCAGTAGTGTTCTATCAATGTTACGCATGCGCAGTAGTGTTTTATCAATGTCACACATGCAAAGTAGTGTTTTATCAATGTCACACATGCAAAGTAGTATTCTATCAGTGTCACGCATGCGCAGTAGTGTTCTATCAGTGTCACACATGCGCAGTAGTGTTCTATCAATGTTACGCATGCGTAGTAGTTTTCTATGAATATCAAGCATGCGCAGTAGTGTTCTATCAATGTTACGCATGCGCAGTAGTGTTCTATCAATGTCAGGCATGCGCAGTAGTGTTCTATGAATATCAGGCATTCGAAGTAGTGTTCTATCAATGTTACGCATGCGCAGTAGTGTTCTATGAATATCAGGCATGCGCAGTAGTTTTCTATCAATGTCACGCATGCGCAGTAGTGTTCTAGCAATGTTAGACATGCGCAGTAGTGTTCTATGAATATCAGGCATGCGCAGTAGTGTTCTATCAATGTCAGGAATGCGCAGCAGTGTTCTATGAATATCAGGCACCCACACATGTATACTCAACATATACACTAATCACATGTACATGTATACTCACACATGTATACAATGTAACGCATGCGCAGTAGTGTTCTATGAATATCAGGCATGCGCAGTAGTTTTCTATCAATGTCACGCATGCGCAGTAGTGTTCTATCAATGTCAGGCATGCGCAGTAGTGTTCTATGAATATCAGGCATTCGAAGTAGTGTTCTATCAATGTTACGCATGCGCAGTAGTGTTCTATGAATATCAGGCATGCGCAGTAGTTTTCTATCAATGTCACGCATGCGCAGTAGTGTTCTAGCAATGTTAGACATGCGCAGTAGTGTTCTATGAATATCAGTCATGCGCAGTAGTGTTCTATCAATGTCAGGAATGCGCAGCAGTGTTCTATGAATATCAGGCACCCACACATGTATACTCAACATATACACTAATCACATGTACATGTATACTCACACATGTATACTGACTCATGTACAGATATAAACTGCTACATATACACAAATCACATATATAGATTTAATAAACGATTGATAATATAAATTGTTGAATTTTTTAAGGTTCGTTGATGCACGTAGTGTCTGTTGAAATTTTTTTAAATATACGTAAGTACCTCACTCGCTAATGCTGCGCTGTCTGTGTTGTAAGGGAAATTATTTATTTACTTGTGTATTTACTTATTCCCAAGTGCGAAATTAAAAACGGCCCAAAACTGGCCCAGTGACGGCATAGTCAGTGCCTACTCTTGGCAGACAATAGTGGCCCGACTGTCGGGAGGTTAACCGGGGTAGGGCGTCGGCAGCCAATCATCGGCCGATTCTCGGTAAACATTAATGGCCCATTATTGGCTGCCATTACTCCCCAGTGTTGAAAAAATTAAAAAAAAATATTTTTTATTTAATTAACTAATTAATTCATAATATTTATACAGTTTATTTCCCTGAATTAATCGCAAACTTACAAATATTTGAAAAATTCTTACCGCTCGCGGGGATCGATACCTGAACCTGACGCACCACAGCCTAACACTCTGACCACTCTGCTACTCTGACGTGAAGTCGAGGAAGCAAAAGGGTTCTTATAAGCTACACTACACTGGCCGATACTGTGCCATTATTGGGCCGAGCTACGTCCCAATATTGGCAATTATAATTTACCATCATAGATACAAAATGATAGACATTAATATGGCATTCCTGAGCCAAGGTACGTCCCAATTCTGGCAATTATAATTTGCCACAAAATGTTTTCCATTAAAGTGCCACTAATGTGCCATTAATTGGCCGATCTTCGTTACATCACTGGCAATTGAATATTGCTATTAAAGATTGATCAACTTTGCCATGAATGTGCCATTATTGAACCAAGCTACGCCCCAATACTGGTAATCATAATTTGCCTTCAAAGATACAAAATTTTTGCCATTAAAGTGCCACTAATGTGCCTTTAATGGGCCGATCTTTGTCACATCATTGGCAATTGTCTTTTGCCATTAAAGATTGATCAACTTTGCCATTATTGTGCCATTATTGAGCCAAGCTACGCCCGAATTCTGGCAATTACAATTTGTCATCAAAGATACAAAATGTTTGCCATTAAAGTTCCACTAATGTATCATTAATGGGCTGATCTTCGTCACATCACTGGCAATTGAATTTTTCCTTTAAAGATTTATCTACTTTGCCAATAATGTGCCGTTATTGGGCCAAGCTACGCCCCAATTCTGACAATTATAATTTGCCATCAAAGATACAAAATTTTTGCCATTAAAGTGACATTAATGGGCCGATGGTCGGCACATCACTGGCAATTGCTTTTTGCCATTAAAGATTGATCAACTTTGCCATGAATGTGCCACTATTGGGCCGAGAGCTGGCCCAGTCTTAAAAAATTTGAAAATCTGACCATCGGCGCCATCATTGGCCCATCAATAGGACGTTTTGAACACCAGTAATGGCCCAGTAACTACTGCCAATTCTCGGCAGACATTACTAGACCAATTATGGGCCGTTTTTGCAGTCTTGGCATTTCACACTTGGGTTTATTTGTTTGACAGAAATCAACAATAATTTTTTAAATGGATAATCAGTGAAAAATGACTTATATTTCTGTAAGTGTAATTTTCAACTGACTTTTAGTAAAATTATTTGTTTGACAGAAATTTACAATAATAAATAAATCACAATAAAATAACAATCAGTGAAGAATGACTGATATTTTAGTACTTTTCAACTGGTTTTCAGTAAAATTCCACTGATTATGAATCCAAAGTCATTTTTTAAAAATACAAAATGGCGAATCCAGGATAGCGGACGAAAATGAAAGATTTATAAGAGAATACGTAAAAATAACATTTCGTATAATGTACAATGACAATTTTTTAAAATGTCACTTCATAATTTTTGTCTTATTACACGGAAAAAAAAGTACGTGAATCCTTCCTTGAAAGTGCTTGACTTTTGGATAGGACACAAAATACAAGGCTGTATCATATACTTTTTATTAGAAAATATAGAAAAGTCCTAGAGTTATTCTAGTACTAGTGTGGGCAACAGTGTTTTTTAAATTTTAACGAAAAGTCATTTGTTCAGTTTTATAAAGTACGTGAAAGATTAGTTGACTGCGCTTGAAAATTCTGTAGAGCATGCGCAGTGTGCGTTGCGCATTTCTACCCAAGGTAAATGCCAGCTGATCGTCTGTTTCCATTTGTGTTAATTTCAGATGTGAATATACTATTATTTTATGAAAAACAAATAGTGTTAATATATATTTGTCTTCAAGAATTGACTTTCAAAAAAATATTTTTTATTTTGTGTTTCTCACAAAACAGAATGTTATGTAAGTCTCAGTTTTCAGTGAAATAGCATGTCTCAGAAGTCGTGAAAAATTTCACCATGTGGTATATAAGAACAATTCGATACGTACTTTTAAGTGTTAAGTGTGTGTTTATATTTAAGTTATACGCGAATATATGTGTGTGTTATAGGTTAGTTCATAAGTGTTGACGAACGTCGAAAAGTGATACAATAATTGTTCTTTGTTTGTGTGATTAATTATCCAAATATGTGAATGAATGAGTGAATTTCAGAAAAACTGTGTGAACAAGTGGAAATTATTTTTTTTATTTTACAATTTTTTTGAAAGTCAATGAAATTCTCAAGCAAGGTACTAGAAATTTTCATTGACTGCTTTTGAAACTCTCATGCAAAAGTACAAGACTGTTTTCAGTATTTTGTGTCGTATCCAAAAGTCAAGTACCGAGTCAATGAAAATTTCACGTACTTTTTTTTTCCGTGTACACAATGATTTTAAATAAAATAATTTATATTTTTATAAATATTAATAATTTTTTACATTTTCTAACCACTATAAGGTTTTAATTTTGTAAATGTTCAAGCTCTAGTTTAGAAAGAAAAATTTATATTATTATATAACAATATTGTCTAGACTTGCAAAAACCCAAAGTCTAGACAAATTTGTCGTAACAATATTGTTACAATATATATTGTAACAATATTGGTGACGGTGACGTGCGTAAGAATAGTGCAGTAAAAATTTCAAAAAAACATTTCTCAAAAAAATTAATAAAATAGCATTTTTATATAGTTTACGAGATAAAAATTCCTGAAAAAAAAGTGTTGAAATTATTTGATTGAAGAGCGTTCACAAATGATGTCACGCAATTTTTCGGGATTTTATAACCCCCCCCCCCTCCTTCAAAGTATGAAATTTTGGAATATTTTCAGGGAATATTCCCTTAATATTCATTCAACATTACCTTGGAATATTCCATTAATATGACGGTGGAACATTGCCTCAACATCATCCTGGAATATTACTTCGAAATTACCGTGGAACATTCCCTCAATGTTATTTTTGGAATATTTCTGTGGGGCGGACATTTTAATATAACTTTAAGATCCCTAGAATATTCCGAATATGAAATGTAATATTCCCTTCATTTTAAGGTTATATTCCGTGCTGCTTGGGTATAAGCAAAACCAAAATTTCGTCGGTTCATAGAGCCATGGAACGCCCCATATAGCATTTTAAGATGATTCACATTGTGAACAAGTTAAAACCTACGATATTGGCTGGTTTTAATAAAAAATTTAGGGGAAAATGGGTCAAAAGTACTAAAAGATGGGAAAATATTATTTTTGAAATATCTTTTTTATTTTTTGTGCAGGGGAGCGTGAGGTAATGTGAGCTTTTAAATTTCACGTACTTAAAAGCCTTAAAATTCGCTGCAATGTCTAGAAAATCTTCTACAACCTTTGTTTATATCATTCCAAAACAAACGATTACATTCTTGACAAATTTTTAGTAAAGACAAGGGAAAATGTATTTTTTGAGTTTTTGTTGTAAAATGCAAAATATTTCTAAATATCACCATAAGTAGTTAAAATCGTATTATTTAGTTATGCTTTTTCATTATATTATAGGTGAATATGTGTAGATATGTATACTTGTATAAAAATCGAGATAATAATAAAATTTGTTAATATTTTTATTTTTTTATTCAAATTTTGGCCTGTAACAATTCTGTGGGGTAATGGGAGAATTAGTGTCAGCCCAAAGAATCTTCGTTACTATGTTAGGGCTTTCGTTATTTCTTTCAAAATTGTAAAAGATATGAATATTTCCAGGGAATATTCTGGGAATATTCCCTTAATATTCATTCAACATTACCTTGGAATATTCCATTAATATTACGGTGGAATATTGCCTCAACATCATCCTGGAATATTACTTCGAAATTACCGTGGAACATTCCCTCAATGTTATTTTGGAATATTCCTGTGGGGCGGACATTTTAATATTACTTTAAGATCCCTGGAACATTCACTGGAATATTCCGAATATGAAATGTAATATTCCCTTCATTCCGATCGGTTAGTCGAAAAAAAGGACACCTCGAATTTTGGTTGAAAAAGAGGACACCTCGCATTTTAGTTGAAAAAAAGGACACGTCGAAAATATTCATTTTACATCAACTTTCGTTTGGCGATACTAGTAGTGATGCATTACGAGCGAATATCGAGAATCTCGCGAAAAATACAATGAAAACAATTGAATGTTACAGTTTCATCTCTTTCCTTTTATGAAAGGACAAAGTCTCGTTATGCATCACTAGGCGATAATATGTGTAATGTAATTGTTTTTTGTAATAGAAGATTTAAGAACATATTATCTTCATAGTTTTTTGAGCACAAAATATCATAAGTCAATTACTTTACACATATCGTTCACTCCAAGTGGAATGTACGTATGTTTAAAGAACATTTTAGAAGTTACGTATCTTCCACGTTCAGTGAAGAAACCACGTATCTTTCTGTTCCGTGCAAAAACTACGTATCTTTGTCAGTCACTTTAGAAGATCTACATTTTATTATTATTATTATTATTTTTATTATTATTATTATTTTGAAGTTAATATTTTGTTATGAAGTAATAATTTTTTCAAAAGTTGATGCAATAAAATATATATTTTTTAAAATAATTTAATTTTTTTTCTTAAAAATATTAGAATATTATTAGAAGTTTTTAAAGCGACTGACAGAGATACGTAGTTTTTGCACGGAACAGAAAGATACGTGGTTTCTTCACTGAACCTGGAAGATACGTAACTTCTAAAATGTTCTTTAAACATACGTACATTCCACTTGGAGAAAACGATATTATCGTCAAACAAAAATGCATTTAAAATTAACATTTTCGAGGTGTCCTTTTCTTCAACTAAAAAGCGAGGTGTCCTCTTTTTGAACCAAAATTCCAGGTGTCCTTTTTGTCCACTAACCCAGCGATAAAATTATTCCATTTAATTGACTTAAGTAATTTGTATTTGGTTCAAATAATTATTTATTTGATACCATAAATTAAAATATTTGCGTCCAGTAAATATTTACTTAGTTCAAATAAATAAAAATAAATAAGTAAAAACAAATAAGTTTAAATACAACCGAACGAGCGTTAGCGAGTGAGGTATATGTCGCTAGTTTATAATTAAGTAGAAGTCTAATTTAACTGTTTGGAAGGCACAATTGACATTTAAATGAAATGAATCATGGTTTAAAGTTAATTGATAACTTTTCTAGTTGTTGATGATTATCAGATAAAATTGCGATAATGAGCAGTCTGTAATATCGTCGTGGAAGAAGAAAGAAAAAGAATTCTTACTTTAATACCACCGAGAGTGACGGAATTGTTCTGAAAGTTAAGACGTCCTCTCATCGTATTAACGACAGATTCTGGCTGCTCGAAAATTTCCTTCTGCATGAAGTACTCGTAATTACCCTTCATAATCTGCTGGATCTCCATCTTCAAAATCGTAATTTCTCGAGCGTGAGGATCATCCATACACCGGCGAACTCGATGAATATTCAAAGCTCCATTCATCACAGCCGCTACGTCGTCATCCTGATAAATTGTATTGCACGGATTTCAATTTAATAAACACACAACTATCAATATTTTTATATTTTATTTGTAAATAACATTGTTTTCCCTTTTTCAAAAAATTTACAACTTTTAAATATTCATTCACACTCATCGAGTAGAAATATTATTTATTTTAATACTTGTTATATTTTAAAAACAGTAATTTTATACAAAACAAAAAAAATAATTTTGTAACAGTTTTTAAGCGCTAAAAATAAATTTTTAAATTCAGTTTAAATTTTTTTACGGTTTTATTCATTTTTTTCCATATTTTTTTTTATCAACGATAGTTATAAAATTCCGATAAGAATTAGAAATTAATGGAAAGCAGAATGATAAAAAAATGAATAAATTGGTAAACCCAGTAAACGAAAACTAATTGAAATGAATTAAAAAGAATTCACAAAGAGCTTTCGTGAATCCCGCTTTGTGACAAATACGAATTGGAGCCATGATGCAATTTTCCTGAATTCGTGAAACTGTATTGAACTTCCGAACCTTCTATCCGTACCAATTCACTGGACAAATTTTGAGCCTTTAATTTTTTTTCAATTCGTTAGCACGAATTCAATGCATTCCTTGGCCATTTCTTTCGAATGCGAATTCGTTTGGACAAATTGGTACATATTGAATTAAATTCAATTGAATATACAAAGAGCTTGAGTGAATCCCGCTTTGTGACAAATACGAATTGGAGCCTACCAAAAATGTTAATTCATTTCAATTCATTTGAATTAGTTTTTTTACCTGGGAATAAATTGAAAAAGTTTTAAAACAAGACACAAAATAATAAAACATTTTATTAATTTAAAACTACCAGAGTGGAGATAAAATAAAATTGTTTCCACTAGCGATAAAAAAATTACTTAAAATAAATTATTTTTTCTCTATAATTATAATATTAAAAAAAGCTCATTATCAATCGATAAATATTTCTGATTTTGATCAAGGTACTTAAAAAATTTAATGAGTCATAAATACTTAAAAAATTTTTTAAAAAAATCATTTCACAAAATCAAATTCAAAGCATGTTTGTATAAAAGTTTATAATTATTTTAATTATGAAGCAAATATTTCTCAAAAGGGTCAGTCCATTATATTTCACCTGAAGCCGTTGCGGCCTATTTTTAAAAAAATCTCATAATTTTTAAAAATGATGTTTAATATCCATAAAATTCATTTTTGAGAATTATTTTATAAAATTTTTTGAATTTAACTTAGAATTATAATTTTTAAGTTGTGTTGCACAGAAGAAAGGTTAGATTGACAGTTATGAAAATTTAATAAAAAAGCATGGAAATACTTTAGATAATGCAAATTTCTTGATTGATATTTGCTAAAAATGAGCTAATTTACTTGTATAAATAGATTATTATGTAAACATACCCAAAATAATAGATAAAAATTGATTTTAAAATTTACCTATGAAATGTCAAAAGTCACTACATTTTAATTACATTTTTCTAAAAAGTTTATAAATATTAAAAAATTTATTACTACTTAATGTAAAGTATTTTCAATGTACTTTCATAATATGTGCTAACTTTTTAATTTTATAATATAGAAATATGAAAAATTTTACCTTTATTATTGAGTGTTTCATGATTTTCATTGATTTTAATCACTTATTTCTTCTCAGGTGCAAGACTAAAAAATCCAATTTTTGTCTTAATATTCAAGTTTGAACTTCTTTTCCATTTAGTGATGCACTTCGATACGAGAATCTCGACTCTCTCGTAGATTTATAATCGCTGTACGAGAAATTTTAAAATCAAGCTTCTCATATGTTTTTTTTGTTATTTCTCGTCTGTTTCTTTTTTTAATAGTTTCAATGTTTTGACATTTTTCTCGTTGAATTCGTTAGCCAGACAACCTCTCACTAATGCGAAATTTTACACTTTTAAAAACGTGAAAACTGAGAAGAAACATGGAAGTTTCCAAGTAATTTTAAATCATTCATAATAATTTTTAACTTTATTACTTACATTGATAAGTTTATTTCAATTAATAAATAGAGATTCTCATTTGGATTCAAATCCCAGTAAACGAAAACTAATTGAAATGAATTAAAAAGAATTCACAAAGAGCTTTCGTGAATCCCGCTTTGTGACAAATACGAATTGGAGCCATGATGCAATTTTCCTGAATTCGTGAAACTGTATTGAACTTCCGAACCTTCTATCCGTACCAATTCACTGGACAAGTTTTGAGCCTTTAATTTTTTTCAATTCGTTAGCACGAATTCAATGCATTCCTTGGCCATTTCTTTCGAATGCGAATTCGTTTGGACAAATTGGTACATATTGAATTAAATTCAATTGAATATACAAAGAGCTTGAGTGAATCCCGCTTTGTGACAAATACGAATTGGAGCCTACCAAAAATGTTAATTCGTTTCAATTCATTTGAATTAGTTTTTTTTTTACTGGGATCTCCCACCTAACCCTAAACAGCGTAAATTGAATGGAAAAGCCTTAGAAGAATCATTTGAGTTTCATACCGACGAAAAAGGAATAAAATGGGGCAAGTGCAAACTTTGTTTTTCAAAAGTACCTCCTGTGGAAAAAGTGATTAAAATGACTGCAAGTAATACTTCGGGAATTAAACGGCATCTTGAAAAATTTCACCAAGAGGAATACAAAGAAACTTACCCTCATGCCAATAACTCCGAAAAAGTAATTTTTAATTTTCTTTTCTTAAATTGTTTACCATTTAATTTATTTGAATTTATTTAAAAAGCTTTTAAAAAATATATTTCTCAATACTCTGAATTAATTGAATTGAGATATAAAATTGTACGAACTAATTTTCAAAAACTCATTTAAAATATAACTAATAATAAATGTTCACTAATATTATTAAATTGAATATAAAAAATATTATATTTATTATTTTTGATATAATAAAATATAATCAAATTTATACTTAAATTATTTCTTATTAAAAGAAAATTGTCCTTTTTCTTCAATTACAATTTTTATTTATTGAAACTTTTTTGAAAATAATATATTTTAACCTTTATTACCATAGAAAATTATTATTTTTTATTTTTTATTGTTGCAAAATAAGATTTTTAAAAGAAAAACAACATGCACAGTATTAGTGCTGAAAAATGATAATTAGTAATTTGTTGTTCATTTTACGGCTCTTAATATACTAATTAAAAATGTTGTTTTACCTACCAACTATTACAAATATATAAATCCTAAATATTGTTTTTAAAAATCTCCAAATTTGAATTGAGCAGACTAAAAATCATGTTTTTATTTATTAGTTAGAATGTGAACTAAATTTTTAGAATTTATTAGAACATTCTTCACAAAAAATTTCAATATCGGTGAAATCGGGACCCAGGCCGGAGCCAGGTTAGATTTCTAAATCTGGCCCCGACCACGGCCTGAATAAAATTTCTGCACTAGTTCTAATAGATAAAGCTGATCTTTTAATGGAATAATAACATACTCAAAATTTTGCAGCGTTTGGATAAAAAAATATTGGAGGAAAATCTTGTTGATTGGGCAGCAAAAAAGTATCTCCCTATAAATTTCTTTGATGACAACGAAACTCGAGAATTATTTGCTTATTTGAATTCTACTGTTGAAATCCCTATGCGAAACAAAATGAAGACACTTGTGATAAATAGATTTGAAAAAATGCAGGCTGCCGTAAAAAATATTTTACAAAACAATAATTCGAAACTGTCGTTCACCTTAGACGGATGGTCTTCTATAACCCGCAAGAGTTATACTGGTATCACATGTCACTTTATCGATGATAATTGGGATTTACATTCCCTTCTCGTTGACTTTGTTCCTTCTCTTGGATTGCATGCTGGTAAGGACATAGCAGTATCCTTTTACGAGACTGTGGAAGATTTTAAAATTACCGACAAAGTCTTAGGAATCACAGTAGATAACACGAGTGCAAACTTCAAGTTTATGAAAGAATTATCACATTTAATGACATTTGATCATAAGAACCAACATTTTCAATGTTATCCACACATTTTAAATATTGCGGTTCAAGCAATGTTGACACATCTGGGACTTGAAGTGATTAGAGAAGAAAATGGTATTGGTACTGAAGAAGGAAATGAAGATAACGATGATGACGATGATGATAATAATGATGATGATGATGATGCTGACAAAGAGAAGTCGAATGATGCAGTAAACGAAATTTTAATAAATGTCGAAACAACTTTTCAAGAATCTCCTTTAACAAAATTACGAAACTTATTTAAATTGTTAAAAAATTCCGAGCAATGGAAAAATAAGCTCGAAAGCAGTTGTCAGCTTTGTGGCATAAAAATGCTTTCTCCAAACATTGATGTCAAAACCAGGTGGGATTCTACATGTGACATGATCAATTTGGGGTTACGATTGCAGAAAGCCTTAGTTTTGCTTTGCGAAAACAATAATGCTTTGAATCGATTGATCATCTCCGACAATGAATGGTTACTGCTTTAGGAAATTTATAAGTATCTGCGTCACTTTAAAGTATTATCGAAAATATTAGGCGGAGAAAAGTATCCTACATTAAATTTAGTCATTGTGGGATTTAATATGCTGCTTGACAAAATGGAAGAATCGATTAATCAATTAAAGAGTAAAGTTCGCAATTCGATTGAAGAAAATATGTTGTCGGCTTTAGAAATAGGATTGGAAAAACTACTTAAACATTATGATAAAAGCAATTGGATGTACTGCGTGGTGCTGATTTTAGATCCAAGATATAAATTAGAAACTTTCAATGCAACAAATTGGGGAATAGAAATGAAAGCTTCATCGTTTGAGATTTTTAAGAGAATTTTCAAAACTCAGTACTACAAGGAACCTGAGCAAACGGTATAAGTAACTTTACTTACTTTTCATTAATATTTTTAAAATTATCTGTTTCTAAAAGAAAATATTTAAAGATTTGTCAACCATTTTAAAGATTATAAATATAAATTCTAACTTTTTCATTATAAAACTATA